ATATTAAGCCTCCATTTTATTGAGAATCAAAAATCTAGTCATTATTTTTCTGAATGAAGCATGAGATCACCAAAAAAGATATGAAAATTTAATTGTTATACAAAAAAGCTTGTTTTTCATAAGCTAGAAATAGAATGTAACACTCTCAAATGGAAAAGGGTGAAAAAATATGAGAAAATGAAAAAATGGAATTAAAGTGTTTGTAAATGGGAAGGGGAGGAGGGGGTGAAGCGAGGGTAGGGACAAGGGGAAAAAATGAGAACCAAGACCTGTTATGTAAAGGTACAAGATCCCAGCAATGAATGTAACTGTACTGAATACCTACAATAAATTCAATAAACTCAATAAAAAACTATAAATGTGAAAATTATATTACTAGATATTTTTTTATTTTTTATTTATTTATTTATTTATTTATTTTTTTGTACCAGGGATCGAACTTGGGACCTTGCACTTACAATGCAGGTGGCAATATCACTGAGCTAAAACCCTGGTCCTCTGGAGATTTTTTTAAAGAAGAACTCTCACATCAATGAACTATCTATTAATGTGAAGGTACTTCCATCTACAATATTTCTCTTAAATATTCCAACTATTGTTAATGAGGTTCTAAAAACTCAGTGTTGAGGTTGGTAGGAGGCTGTTATGGTAAAATTGGTTACTGATTATTTGAATACAAAGGTAGCCAATGGGAGAAATAGGATTCAACTTCCAAACTTGTATAAAAAGTTCATATAACTGCGCTTGTTTCAGCAGCATATATGCTAAAAAGTTAATAGAAGTCAGTATTTACATTCCTAATACCTAGAAGTACTTTACTTTTGAAAAATAAATGAATACATCAAAGTTTTTTTTCCTGGTTAATTTGAAATCTTAGCGTCTTAAACGCTAACACTTAGCCATTTTTATTCATGACAGAGAATGAAGTTACATGTATTCCATCACAATTTAACTTAGCATAACAGGTAAGGTACACTTAAAAAACTGAGAGCCAGGGATTTCGCTCAGTGGTTCCACCACCTGCCTTGCAAGCTCAAGGATAGTTTGATCCCCGGTACCCCCTCCCCAAATTGAAATGAGAATGAAAGAGAGGGGATGTGGCTGGGAAGAGAAATTGTGAGAATTAAAAGGAAAACATTATTTTTAAATTGGAAGACATTACATGTAGTTCCATAACTTAGGGTCCTGGATGACCAGTTATTCAGCAAATCCTGAGACACTTTAGCTATGCTGCATTCTTAATGATTTACTTGACACAACCACAACTGAAATGATAAAAGTGGGCAAACAATCAAACAGCACCAGCTTTAATTGGTTCTTCACCAGAGATCAGAAGAGAGGGTGTGTGGTCAGAAGAACTGTATAAACTTTTCATCACCTTTTTGAATTTGAACATACCATCAACTTTCTACCTTCATTGCAGAACTGGTCTCTTCTTTCTTCTAAGTTTTTATTTCCAGAAAATGCTAAAATAGTATAATAGTTAAAAAAGGTATTATCAGAAAGAGTTGAGACTGAATTTAAATGGAAGGAAAAGTGATCTTCTAAATGTCCATAATGAGCTCCAAAATACCTTCTCTTTTTTTGTGTGTGGATGAAATACTAATAAAAAGTGTAGTTGTTCCAGGCTGTGTAATTTAAAGATTTATATTCACCACTTACACCAGTAGGCAGGCAGATCAGTAAATCTTGTCCAATTCTTAACAGTAGGTAGACAAGTCTTTGGATGGAGAGAAAAATATTGTACTGGCAGGTGAATCCAATAAATTGAAGTGTGAAAAGAACTAGGGCTCTTTGGATTTACTAAAAGCTAAGTGTCTTGTCTTCTTCAGAATTTTATGTCCTTAAATGTTATGAAAATGTACTTTGGGATTATAGAGATGTTGCATAAATCTAAAGGACACCAGGGCAGAGGTTTTTGTTCATTTGTTCTGTTTCTAGTATCTCTGATCTGTTTTAGAACATTAATAAGAACAATTCCGGAATGGCCTTTTTTCTGGTATTGGCTATAGTCACACCACTGAGTATTCTTTTAAACTCTCTGAAGATAGAAGCAGAGGAGTAGCATCTGTTAGAAAAATAATGCAACAAAATCTGTTATGTCATCTGAATCTTATAATACATACTAGACTATTTTATCACAAATTAGTGGTGAAACTGTGCAACAATCTCTTGATGATTCTGCAAATCAGTACATATACACAGATAGTTTCTATGCAAAAGCATACAAAGTAATTGCCCTGAATTATTCCTACAAAATGTGTCTGGAGACTTGCAGAACACAGTGTGATACCATTCAAAGCCTTTAAAAAGAGACTGGATTTGTCTATTCAGACCTATTTTGTTTCCAGTCCTTTGGTTTATGACTTTGACATGTGACTGTGCCAAGAACAGAATAGGCCAGGGCCAGGGATTTAGTTCAGTGGTGCTACCGCCTGCCTTGCAAGCGCAAGGATCTGAGTTTAAATCCCGGTACCATTAAAAAGGGGGGGGGCAGAATAGGCCTGAGTTAGTCTACACTGTAAAACTTTATTTGGATATCCCTCTTTACCTCCTGTATTTAAAAATATGAGGGGAAATGTGATATGCGATTCTTAAACCATAAGTAGATCTACACTATCTGGATCTGTACGTTAACTTCATTTTCACTAGATATATTTTAAGTCACTTTTCTGGAGATATTTTTTCTCTTCATTTATACAATATCTTTCTCTTGCTTTTGTTAATGTTTTCACATCTGTTTCTTTTCTCTTTGCCTCTCATTACCTGGGTACTGTCCTCTCTCTAATCCAGTTGTTCTCCCTGGATGGTTCCCAGTTTGGGACCCTGATTCTTCTTCCTGTATTCTCTTTATAAGATCGCTACACTCATATATAGATCCTTGCTCTTAGGATCTCAAAGTTAAATCACAGCCTCCCTTTTGCTGCAACTCCTATATGGACAAATTCTGCTTTCATTTTTTTCTTTGGTTACTCAGTGATATGCCAAGCTTAACAAGTCCATAATGATTTATTGATTTGCTGCTACTCTGAAATCCATTTCTGCTTTTACAATATTCTTGTCAAATGTATCTGCTTCTTTCTATCTTCAGTAAATTTTATCTTAGTTTAAGCTACTGTCATCCCCTAATATATTTGCGAGTGTTTGCTAGCTTGCTTGCTTTTCCCTCTCTTACCTTTTAACTTCAAACAATGGCCAGAAGGATGGATAAACATTTTTGATGATTTCTGTTTGATCTTATGCTGAATAGAAATCCCTTAATATGCTTGTTACAGGTTGAATTGTGTTCCCCAAAGGAAGATAGATTGAAACCCTGATCCTCAGTATCTCAGCATGGGAGAAATTTTAAATCAATGCATTTCAGATGAGCATGGTTAAATTGAGGTGATTCTGGGGTAGGGTGGGGCTCTTATTCAACGTGACTGGTGTACTTACGAGAAGATTGCATGGGAAGACACAGAACCATACAGAGGAGGACACCTTGAGCAGACACAGGCATACCAGAGAGAGTCACACCCAAACCAAGGAAGACCAAGTTTTCCAGGTGCCATGTGGACTTAGGAGAGAGCCATAGTCCTTATCCTTCCTCGGAGTCCTTAGAATAAATCAACTCTGCAGACACCTTGACTTCTGCTCACATCTCCTGAACTGTGACAAAAATTCCTCTTTGTCATTGTAGTTACCCAGTTTGTGGTACTTGTCACAGAAGACCTAGGAAATTAATGCAATGGGTATGGGAAACAAAATTGATAGCTTCCTCCTTTTCCAAACCTCATCTTCGGCTTCAGCTATGGTAGCTTTCTCGAAGACCAAATCTTGCCACACAGAATTTAGAGGAGCCTGCTCCCCTGTCCCATATGGCTTTGTGCTGTCTCCCTAAATATGATCACTTCAAAGAAGCTTAGATCACCTTGTTAGCTCACAGAGAAATGCATTATGTTATGTACGCATTTACTTATGTGCTTATTATTATTTGAATATCTTTCTCCCTTCATGTGTTTGTCTGGGGAAGATAAAACATGTCCTATTACCTTGTAAGATGAACAGTTCACAGAGTCCCTGGGAGACTGAATTTGCTCATTTGGCAAATTGATGGAAATAAATTAGGTCATTCAAAAATAGATTGGAAAAGGTTATGGAGAGTCTCACTGTACTAGGAAATACTACTTGCATACCTTTGGACGAAAGTATCTTCTTCCCCTGTAAATGGTCAATATTCACAATTGAGCATCTCTCAGATGAGGAGCAGATATGGAACCCACAGTTCATGAAGTGTGCACGAGCAGCAGCTTTGCAATAAAAATAACCAACCAGTAGCATGTCTGACCATATCTGTAATTTTTCCCAGAGGTAATTGCATTGACATAATCTCTTCTTTAAATTTAACACATGTGTTATGCTACTCTGCAAACTAAAGAATTCTTAATGCGCTAGCAAACTAAAATCAAATGGTTTTAGCACAATCTTCCTCATTTGTTAATTAATGACCTTAAACATAGCCTTTAGTTCTCAGGGCTGCTGAGTTCACAATGGAATACAGAGATGGCAAGAGGTGACCTCCTTTAATCCCAGGGTTGCTGTGAGCTTTCATTGATAATTAGAAGGATAAATTTATTTCACATATTTAGCTCCATGTAAATTTATGGAATCTGTGTATTTAATAGTTGCAAAGGAAACAATGTGTAGACAGTAAAAGAATGTCTAAAAAATCATGTATTTCTCAGTGCTTCTCAGCCTTTTGGCTAAGATCAAGTGTAGTAAAAATCATATATTTCTAAGCTAATGTCCTCAGGCAGACAAACAATATTTCCATGAATTTTCTCTTCTGCAAAAACTTTCCAAATACTCCCTTATTCAAACTCATCCTACTATTTTGAGTGAACTGTTAAATGGTAGCATGGACTTATTAAATTTTAACATAAAAGGAAATTCTCTAGTCCCACAAAAATACTCAGAAAAAAAAACTCAGAAATATGGTACTTACAGATTCATCTGCTGAAATTTTCATTCTTCAAACTGCTTTTTCACCCACTGCCTGTCATTATTTTTCTCTTTCTTCCGCTGCCATTACTTCCTAACTTTGGGGAAACAAAAAGTCAATAACATACCATCTGTAACTTGGAGCATTTCCAACTTACCCTGTCTTATCAGACAACACAATCTGTTGACGTTATCATGTGATAAGTTATAGGATATTTTATATAAACAGATCATGAAGGATTATGTCAGTTATTTTTGTTGGAGTTAAATGGATTCATGTATGAAAGGTCATTAGCATAGTTCTCCTACCCAAATAAACTCCACTTACGTGGCAGATATTTTAACTATTCTCTAACTTGGTGCCTCCATTCGGCTGCACAACTAAGTGTTAGATGTGAAGGGAAAAATATGACATTTTTCCTAGAGTATCAATTTTTTCTTGATGGAAGTAATTATAGTTGGAGTTAAATGGATTCATGTATGAAAGGTCATTAGCATAGTTCTCCTACCCAAATAAACTCCACTTACGTGGCAGATATTTTAACTATTCTCTAACTTGGTGCCTCCATTCGGCTGCACAACTAAGTGTTAGATGTGAAGGGAAAAATATGACATTTTTCCTAGAGTATCAATTTTTTCTTGATGGAAGTAATTATAAAACTTTATATGAAAATGTACACATTGCATATTATAGCAACACACACACACACACACACACACACACACGTATATACTTAGCAGGAA